AGTGGAGATAAATAGTATTGTAGGTGGAGAGATCATGGAAGCAGGAATGGGTAAATGCTGGTTGGTCGTGCGTTGGCATGCGATTATCTTGTTGAGAAGGGAAATGCGAGAGCCATTCATGGTGTTTTTTTAATTTAGTATATAGTGTAGCAGATTCTTAAGCTCTTATGTCTTCTTTCTTGAGGCAAACGGAAAGAACAAGAACTCAGTCAAGGAGTCACTGCCGACGAGGTGAGGACCATCAAGAAACCCCGCCTCGTCTTCACGGACATCCAACGCAGGACGCTGCACGCCATCTTCAAAGAAACCAAACGACCCAGTAAAGAGATGCAGGTCCGTAAGTAGTCGCATTCTAACCCTCGAAACTGCTAATCTTTGCGCACAAGAGAGTTTTTAGTGTACCACGAATCGTGCCCCCCTCCCCTGACCTTTGTTCTGAGTGGTTCGTGTTGTGTTTAAGCTTAATCACCTGTGGAACTCGACTTGTTCCCCCGAAATAGTATACATGCACTTTTGAGTCCAAGAGTGCATCGTTTGCAAGTCAAAGGTGTGCCGTGAGAGTCGCCGCCACAATCTGAGCGTCCGTTTACCGTGAATGAACTACTAATTGCCTCCAATGATTAATCGCTCAGCATTGCGTTGCACTCTGTTAAAATTCCCGACAAAAATAGACGTAAGAGTACAAGTGCGGTTGACGTTTCGCTTCCAGACAAATGTCGACGTGAGTTGACCGGCTAGCGCCATCTAATCACACGCACCGCATCGTGACACATCGCACGAACCCGACCACTTCCAATTGGGGCAGTTGTATCACCTCCAAAGGTACTGGCACATGACGAAGTCCACGTGAGAATCACAACCACCGTGTTTGCTGCGGTCTTGGCATTTGCCGTTTTACCTCAAAGGCACATTTCACCCAACTAACAGTGCGTGTGTCTTCGTCATGCGACGTCGCTTGTTGGTGGTTGCTACGACCCTGCCTCGATTTCTGATACGGTCGCCTGCACGCGATCGGTTTTAGTAGTAACATCTGTCTCCGTGTGTGTGTGCGTCAAAATACCAATGAAAGATAGACACTTGTAGGGTTGGCTAACTCCTCTGTGCCACTGGTGTGCTTCCAAACTTAAGGATTTGGCAAGTTGAGGTGACAAATCCTGGAAATTGGAGCCAGGAAAAGGTCTTTTGGTGTTTCCCGACTCCACGCGACTAATTTTCTATAATGTTAACTAAGAAGTTCAAATTTGACCCTATTCGGTAGTTCACAGATCTGCTGTCCGGTGCATCGGCGTTTGATTTGGCGCAAGTTGAGTTGACACTGCACTCAGTTCGTGCATGCACTCGGTAGATTTGCCAGTTCGTGCACTCACAGAACCAGGCCAGGTCGCTGTGCGTGTCCGTTGAAAGATCTTGCACAGGCTTGTTGAGTTTTTAACTGGCGCGGGGTGTAGACATGCTGATGCACGCGTTCCTTGTTTGCTTAGGCAACTATCGCCCACCAACTGGGCTTGGAGATCTCCACGGTTGCCAACTTCTTCATGAATGCTCGACGACGCTCTTCGGAGAAGTGGCAAGACGGTGACAGCAAGAACTCCAGCATGATCGATTCGTCGTCGCCGCAGTCGTCCATTGATCAGTCGGAGGGTGGTGGAGGCGGTGGCGGTGGCGCTGGGAGCGTGATGATAGGGCCTCCGGACGAAACCACCGCCATCGCTCACGCTGGAGACACGCCATTCAAGGTGGAGGCGTACGGACAATTCAACCCCTCCGCCTACGTCACCGCAGATCAGTCGTCGCTGTGCGCCGCGGTGTCTGCGTCCATGGTCTCAGCGCAGCCCTACGACGCCGCCAGGTCATCCTCATCGTCGTCGTCCACGGCGATGACGCAGGCCTACATGCAACCGGAGTATCCATTCTCCATGCGAAACCCCTTTTTTGCAGCTCAGCACAACCTCCTACAGCAACAACAACGGCTCTTCCCCTACGCCAAAACCGCAGCCTCTAACTTCCAAGCGCAGTACCTTCCAGCCGCGATTCAACAGCAGCACCAACACGCAATGGGCTTCCAGCAACAACAGCAGCAGCAGCAGCAGCAGAGCTCGCTCATCGACCTCCGACGTCTGGCGTCGGCGTCTCAAATCGACCCGCGTTTCCTAGCAACGGCGACTGAGTTGAGCGCCAGTCACCAATCGCTGCGTGACCAGGCCCTCGAGATCTGCTCAAACATGAATGCTGCGGCAGCCGCGGCTGCAGCTTCTGTTGGCTTCAATGCTGCCTCAGGGGATGCTGGCACTGTTGCCGATCATCAGATCTTGACTGCTACCAAGCCGGAGGAGGGCTCTTTGTCAAATCTTTCGCTAGCACGGTGAAATGCTAGCGCCGTAACCTCTTCCTCCTCACCAATTCCAAGATGCCTTAATGAGTGCCAAGGGCCTGTGTCGTCGTCTTTTCCCCATCTACTCCCGTCTCCCCTCCTCCTGGTTGTTATTTTTTTACAAAGCGCCAAAGCAAAATAAGCCAAAGTATAACCGCACAGTTATCTAGAGTTAATATAACCGCTAACGTGACTTGTTAGTAAAGTTAAGTTGTGTTTTCAAGGGCACCAGAGGGACTGGGTCACTCTGCTTGCTTTTTTTACACCAAAAAGTGGAACTATTGCCGCGTTTCTCTGCCCATTTTTGTAGAACGAAAATACTTCCTCTTGTGCCTCAAGCACGTGTATCTAACAGTAAGTCCCCCCCTCCCACCGAAACACAGACATCCATTCCATGACCCGCTTCTTGTTCCACTTTGCGATGTGTCCGTGCCTTTCACCCGTCTGCTCCGTTTCTTAGCATTTAATGATGGATTTTTCAATCTGAGGTTCTATAAAAATACAAGTACATTACTCGTCTGATGATGCAATGTGTTTTGCTACGTCTTGGAAGGCAACTCTTGTGTCTGATGCTTTGCAGGTCGTTGGAATGATCTAGAACAACCCATGACGCCAAGTTTAGGTGGATTTTGCCTAGATTTTGCTTGGATAATGGGAAAAGTTGATTTTTTCTAAAATCGAGACTCTTTATCGGCATAGGTAGGTGTCGTGGTGTCTCCCTTTTAGAATGTTTGCAAGTTGTTCGCATCGCCTGTACACAAACATCCTTTGCGTAACTTCTGTTTTTCGATTTAACTGGCCCTGCGTTATGAATATTCAGCAACGTTCACGGAAACATTAAGCGTGTGTTCGAATATCATCAAGTTCTACGTTTGTTTGTACTCGTTCAATGTGATGAACCAATACTCATGACTTCAAGAAATGTTGATATAGTTATCTGCTGTAATAAGTGGTCATTGTCTAAAAACATCACATTCAGAGTTCAAATGATGCTAATCGATAAGCGATGTAAATGAAAAAATTCTTCCTGGACAATTTTTTTCTTTAGTGGATATCTAATGTCGATTGCTTATGGTTGGAATAAACCAGAAATAATATCATGTTAACCGGACCAAAATATTGGATCCTGAATGCTTTTCCAAATATCGATTTTTATTAATGTGCATAATTATCCCCAGATGTAAGTTACACATATCACTTTTGGTTAAAAAGCAGCATGCAACTGAATGGTGTAATGATCATGTCTTTGATTATCTAAACACAATAAACAGGACAAACAATAACCATGGGTAAGGCTAATGCACGCTAGCTTTTAAGATTCTTGGTACTTTTAATAACTTTATTATTCCAGTCATTATCTAAAATTAAGTTTACAATATATTGGTATTTGCAACCCCACACTAAACATTATTTGATTCGAGGCAAAAAATTCCAATTAACTATTTCCTTTGCAATGAACTGTGAATTTATATCAGGCTCTATGTCATTAACTTTGGTTTACGATCCTGACAGATTTTGTTGTTGCAGAGTGCATACTTTAAGCTACCTTTTAAAGTTTAGTTATATGTATATCAGATTTTCGAATCTACTAAGCTGCGACTATGCCGCCTTTTTTGATATCTTGCTTGTAAATAAACTGGCGTGCTCCACATATCACTATTCTCTAAATATGAACTTGTGCAGTTTTGAAAGGGATCAGTAAAAAATTTCCCTTTTTCTGGGATGTATTCCTCCAGTCATTCAAATATCTTACGGCAAAAAAATATTTTGTTATAAATGCAGTGCCAACAAATCATTCAAAACTTCGTAATGCGATACCCATTCTGTGAGCCTGTCTTTGGTAATCTAATAAAGGATTGGGCCTAAGCAGAAATAGCAAAGCCGGCGACGATGTTTTATATAAACTAGTGTAATTTTACTATACATGACATATATTACCAAAGCAATTCCATAATGGAAATCAACCGATTTGGAAATCTTAACATAAGTGGGCACAGGCCACAATTAGCTCTGAACGTCGAAATTTCTAACTGAAATATAGTTTGTACAAACTTAGTTACACCTTACTGTTTGTGATTGCTTTAATAGAAAACAAGTTTTTATATTATTAATAAAAGCATATTCAAGGTCAAAATTTGAACACGCGAAAAGAGAGACCGCGCATTAAACAAAACTGCACAATTTTACGAGAATTTACCGAGATGTTCGCTACGCGCAACCTTTCCTATGAAAGTCTTCAATCGCGCGTTAATGAGATTTTGAGTAATCTTGGTTTTTTAGTCAATAACTAAACTGAAGATTTTCAATTAGATCCGGAATATTCCAAACACTTATCTCTTGATCAAGTATGCCTGTGATCATTATAAAAACTATCTATTTTAGGCCGCAGATACCAAAAAGAAGTACATTTTGTTTGCATACTTATTTTTTCTGCAAGGGACTGCTTATCAGCTTCCAGTTCCGCGACAATTGTTGAAGGAAATCTTCACAACAAAAACGTTTTTGTTCACCAAACATTTTCTAGTTCTAGAAATGAAATTCATGAAGGTTGTTATACTCAAAACTTTTTAAGAAGTACTAGGCCGGTACGTTCAGGTTATAATTGTGTACCGAGTCATTTCGCTTAATTCCAAACTTCGTGCAGTTGAATTTGCAGGATTCGAGGGAATTTTTATTGTCATGCAAACCTGTTTCTCTGAGTTACCAAATCACTTTTTGCTTGATCCCTAACAAGCAAAATATATGACGTCTCTGCAGCGTCCATCATTATGCGATTTAGCTGTTGTAAACTTAGAGATGCCCATTTGTTATAGTTATTTTCTAATATGATTTAATATAAATTGAAACGAAGTGAAGAGTGTCTCAAATATTTGCGCAATCAGAACCACAATCTAATCAGAATCAGTATACTAAGAACATCGAGTGTTTTATCTCTTCAAGCAGCGTAAAATTATTGTGCGGAGTTCCAGGTTATCTTTTTTCTGTCATATATTTGTCATTTGAGAACGCAAGAAGCTTTTGGTTAGGTCTACATATGCAATAATTTTGTTATTTAGCACTCAATTGAAATGCTAGGTTTGAATGTCCTTACCAACTTTGAGTAAAGATAAATTAGTTAAGGTAGGGAAGAATATATGAAAAATAAGTCGACTTAGACTTATGCGAACATTTCAGAATATCTGTCAATATTGCCTAATGTTTGTCCCTGTATCTGACAGTTTACCTATTTAATCAATCTACTGGTGTTTAATCAAGTTTATTAGTTCATATTTTGATTGCTTTGGTTAATATGAAACATTTTAGGAGTTAAAGATGAACGTCGAAGTACCTGACGCAACTATTGACAACTCTAGAAAACTAACAAGGCCGATTTCTGAAGTGTTCACACCAGAACAACTCATGTAAGTTTTCCTTTTAAATTCAAAATTAAAAGGAGTTTAAATGTACTAAAAATCATAAGATTAGACGCAGCTGGGGCACAAACGATTATGCGATCTTCCATGGTTGCAGATGTGGTCCGGAGGCTAGCAACATTGACGTGGAGCCGCAAACGACAATAAGCGATGCAAAAACAGACTGTATTAGGCACGAAGCTTTTGACCTTGGTGCGACTAATAGATCAGACGGTGGTTCGAGGAGTGAACCCCTTCAGAGCTCATTTTTTAGTGGGAAACTTGAACAAGCTGAAGTGAGTTCATTACCAACAAAGCAACTGCTTTTGGTTGGTTTAATTCCCTTTCTTTTTTTTCTAGCAACAAAGGGAGTCAACAAGGCCTGTACAAACTAGAAAAGACAAAAATGAAGAAAACGTGGGTGAATTTGATGGATCCACTTCACCGGTAAGTCCAATATGCTCAAACCATTTATGATCCGGTGTAAATGATCATAAATGGTTTGTTTTGTCAAAATGTTACAATAATAAATAATTCTATCGCTATACCTGCGTTGTTTCAACTATACCTTTATCTAATTATGATGCCATATCATTTTATTATTAAGTTGTCGGTCATGAAAAAAAATATAATATTATATATTTCACATTTTATGAAATCGTTCATTAAGTTTACACTTTAATGTGTCTTGATGAGCAAAAAATTGGCCATTTTTAAACTTTAAATGCTATAGTTAGTTTGAAGGTCACATGAAATGGCCTGTGGAAATTATAACGCCGATCCTTTTGGCAAAGAAAGACTTTTTCACCAGTGACTTACCTTACATAACAAATGAAAAACACGGAATCCACGCAAATTAAGGAGACAAGCTAAATCCTTTCAGAATGACCGAAGACGGAAAATAGTAGAGCCTACCCTCGTAAACGCTTCAAGTGTTTTTATTGTGCAGAATTATACAGACAGCGGCTCTTTATTCTTTCAAAGATTTTCAAACATCCAACGCTGACGGGCGACAGAGACGAAAGGGACCAGCAAAAGCGATTCCAGAAGTGAGTTAGCAGAAAACAGCCAAATGGTGCTTTCTAGCAATCTTACACCCACCGGCATGGTGGTTACTTTGAGCTCTGTTAAAGCCCACGATTAGCTTGTACTCGAGTGTCTTCTTCCGTGCCTAGACAATTAATGCAACACGAGCACCTTGAAGCCCAGTTAGCTGAAACCAGGAGGCTCTTAAGGAGCTCAGAAGACGAGATGAAGAGCATTCGGAAGGAGGTCCAAGAGACGGAGCATCGCCTAACTCAGGAACTCGCCAAGAAGGTCACCTCGCTACGCGACTTGGAAGGACGGTTTGTCAAAATGTCGGCCGAGTTGCAAGTAAGGCGCCGAGTTAGCGCCCTCATTCTGGTCTGGTTCACTGACAGTGACGACGCAGTTGGTGTTGTAGATGAGCCTCCTTGACAGTCAAGCCAAGAACAGGGTCTTGGAGGATACACTGAAGACCAATCAGTCACTCTTTCGACGTGCTGTCTCTGAACGCGACTCCATGCAAAAGGCAAAGGCTATGCTGTCTTTTCGGCTCCAAGTTGCGCAGGTTAGCTTACCAGAATGACTTTGTGTGGACAGAAAAAACAGCTAGTAAGTAGAACTCTTTACTTAAAATTGTCAAATTAGAGGACTTCTCCAAAGGTTGGGAAATACAAGAAGCTGACAACTAGGTCCGTTTTTTGGACACTGACACCTTGGGGCAGCATCTAAATGCTTCTTTACAAACGTTAGAGCTTATTCTTACTCACTAGTCCTTGGTCTTACAGATTTTTTTCTTTTTTTTAAAAGGATCAGATCCGAGAACTTGAACACAAATTGAACAGCAGTGCAAGTTGTTCGGAAAGCCAAATGGCGCGCCTCAACAGAACCCTAGAGGGTGTTGCAGAGGTTGCCGTTGCCGCGCGTCACGCCAGTGCACGTATTAGGAGCACCCTTAAACAGGCTGGGACATCCGTTAAGATTGCCACCCCCAGCAAAGCGGCGAAGCAGAGTTTTGAGACGTCTGTCGTGTCATCAATCAGGCAACTCACAGATGACGTAAGTTAGTGGCCACCAGTGAGGTAGGGACTAAGTGATTTGGTCTTTCATTTATGGTTAAACAGGTACATGCGAATTTCTGGAAAGAGGAAGAAAGGCGTTAGGGTACTAATTAGTTACTCAGTAGACTCCAAATATTATATTCATTAAAGTAACCTCTGAGCGAATTTAAAACCACTTTTTTTTACCTGAAAGGCGAGCGCACTTCTGGCCGAATTCACCAGGATTTTGGAGGAAAGAAACAGACTTAAGACTGAGTTATCGATGCGCAACTGCTGTAATACGCAGACCCAAGTGGAGGTAAACGAACGCAACACATTGGCTAGAATGTATGGTAAGGCCCTGAACATTTACAACTAGAGGTTTTTTAAGTACATGATTGAAGGAAGGTATTCGTTAATTCTTTTGCCACTTTGGATAAATTGATCTTTGGAACCACTGATTTTTTAAGATTTCAACAATGTAAGCGCAAAGAACTGGTTTGTGAATGTTTGACTGGTCAAATGTTTTGAATCAGTAATGCGAGATTAATCGTTGCAAGTACGTGGGTGTTTTATCTGTTAGTATTATGTAATTTCATTTAGATAAGAAGCGCCTAAAGTCATCAGGCGGTGCGATGAAAAATGAAGCTGTCCGACAATCGTTGACAGCAGCACACGAAGGGGACGGCCGCATAATTGGGGCGAATAAGTCCGTATGTAGTGTGCTATCTGCAGCATCTTTGCATGTTATGATTACATATTATGCCATTTTGGTCTACTTCTGCATTTTCGTAAAATTTGATTTAAAAAATAAGGCCACGAATAAAGGCTTTTATTTTAACATTTAGAGTTAGCACATACGGTACAATAGGCGCAATATCAAATTATGACGCGTTCACGTTTTTTTGAATTAAGCGCTGTTTGTCAGTTGATAAGGGACACAGTGTAAGCTCTATGCTGACCTTCCGCACTTGATTCAAAATAAAATTTATACTTAAAGGCCATTTATCGACACAGACAGTAATACCCTGCGTCAAACGTTTAATCAGTGCTACAGTTTTAATATATCCGAGTTTGTCTACAGTGATATTGGAATGTTACAGCGTAATCTTGATAACTAAAACGAGCGTTAAGAAATCTCTAGCCCAGCGCTAGAATGGGATCACATCGCAGCACAAAGAAGCATTTGGTGTGCATCACCTTATTTATGCTATAATGGCTAAGTTGGATTTTAAATAAGGTGGTGGCATTCAACCTCGCGTATCTGATCAAACTCAGGCTTCTGCTATTGTTCTTAAAATAGAAATTTAATTTTCTGAAGTAATCCTACATTTAATTTTAAGACACCAGATGCAGTAACTGTGCAACCTGTAAATGCTACCAGGTTGGTCGAAGAGAAGCAAGCAGAAAAAAACGAAAATTCTGCTGCTGTTAACGGACAAAACGATCCATGTGGTTAGTTTTACGTTCGTCTTACAGATCAAGTTATGATTTTTCCAAAAGACTTTTTGTTTCCAACCAAAATATCCGATTACTGGCAAGAAACAACGTCAATTGGATCCTTTTACAAGGGATTTACCCTTATTGTTTGTCATGTTCCTTTGCAGAAGGCACTGCCTGCCAATGTTGGTAATTTATTTCAAAGATCAAATTGGTTTATCTCTTTTTCATATTTTAGGTGCCGAAAGCAAACCTAGCATTTTCAAACCCGCCAAATATGTAGGCTGTTGACTATGCTTTTTTGACAAAATATTGCATTAGGCTTTTAATTCAGCCGAATTTATTGGCTAACTTGTAACCACTGCGATTTTGCCTTATTCAGACCCCTGTTCTAATCGAAAGAAGGTTGCCGAGTAAGGAGGTTGCCTCGTCAAAAGTTGGCTTGCGTTCGAGTCAGGATAAGCTTAACAGCCTTAGTCAACGCATTGACGGTACGAGGCCATCTTTTTACACAAATAACCTTCAAATTGCTTTTTGTCACTCAGGTTTTGTCAATTTTAGGAATAAGACGAACTCGGAGGAGTTTGAAAGGTGAGTTACCATGATATCTTGAACATAGGTCAGATTTGCGGAAGATAAACTCTGTAGCTGGTTACAAGGGGATAATTTTGACGTAAAACTGAAGGATTCTATATGGAATCTTTACAAGGATTCGCAAATTGTGTTCTCCATGGTGGGAATCCAGGCACGATTTTGCCACCTTAGCATACAACGTTCAATGATCTTTGCATATATTTTAGAAATTATAGACCATTTGGAGGCGACAGAAGGCGCGATGTCCACACAACCAGGTAAAGGTTCCTGAAAAATTTTAGTGCCTTTCCAAATCAGCTATCCACAAAAGTCTAAAAAGAAGCTAACAACAGACTACACTAGTGCTGTTTTTAGCTCGGTTCCTTCCTCGAGATCAAGTCAGATTACTCAATAGGAAGGAGCAATCTGGCGAAAACTCGTAGTGCCCTCCTATGGTTTATTTTATTTATTTTAATCAGCTTCACGACGTTCATCCGAGCTTGAAGTCACGTCAGACGTAAATCAAAGGTCTGCTGAGGTGATCAGTAGACCAGCAGGTGACGAACAGGTGAATGCGAACAACAGTTTCTCGTGGTCTCACGCTGGACACAGCCACTGCGTCAGAGCAGCTAGGATGGGCTTTAATCGAGGTTCATCAGCACGTCGAAGTGATCGCTACTCTCGGTTAAGCATGAACCAGTCAGAAACCGGGTGCTCCAAACGCAGCTCACGTCTCGTTCCCGATACCAGCAAGAGTGATAAAATTGGAGGTAATATAAGCCAAGCGCGATTGATTTCACCGAGAATTAAATTTTATGTCCATGGTTTTAAAATTTTTGCTGCTGACATTATGTGGTTCTTGTTTTTCTCACCCGACCTCGAGCTGCGCCAATCAGAACAGGCCCGACTAAAGTAGTTCGAAAAGTTTGCTACCAATGTCTGATCGGAATATGTAGTCAGGGTCACTAGCTATTGCGGATCTGGGTCTTTCCAAATGATAGCATCGGGATGTTCTAGGTGTGAGTTCTGATTTCACAAGGAAACCACGAAATTTACATGGCCATGTTCATGCAACGTAGCAAGTTAAGTAGATTAGAAGCGCGATTACCTTAAGTTTGATTGAATGGCTAAGATCAGTCGTGCATTAAGAGCACAAGCCTTGTTCGTGTATTCTTATGCGTGTTCGTTATTCTGCGTAAGGATATGTATATTTCGAGGCAGCAGTTACGTCTCTTTATCTGCCATAAAAATCGCTTTAGTTGGTCAGTTCTCCGTTTAACCAGATATTTTCACATGAAATATTTGTTCCTTGTTTTATCTGTTGAATGTGTGTAGTAAAAAAATTATTCACGTCCTTTTTTGTTTGATTTTTCCAGAACTTCTAAACAAGGGCATCACAAAGGCAGATCGGCTGCGCGACGTGATTGGTAGGCTGCGTCAATTCATTCACACGACAAGACCATTAACCGAATCTTGGGATAAAAAGGAGAATAGAGGCCTAACGCAATCTGTTGAATCTGGGTCTCACCCGAAGTTACCCAATTCAATTAGCCACAACGGAAAATAACGCAAGGCTGGTTCGCAACTTCAATTTGATTAAACTGGTTGATGATTTGTTACATAGCGGAGAAATTGACAATCCCAATTACTGCTAGCCTTGTTATTGATTCACCTATTAAAAAATAGGTAAAAATTAACTATATTAAATAGAATTTCGCATTCTCAAAAATTCGTTCTGGTCTTTCTAATTTTTGCAGAACGACAAATTATGAATCAATTGCAAAAGACTGATCTCTAATTACTTATGTAAAAACAGTTTCGCCGTATTATTTCTAATATGTTAAAACTAAATAAAGGAACGGTTTAATGCATCCAAACAAGTGGATTGAGAAATAAATCCTTTTTATTTGTTAATACGTATAGCTAATGAGCAAAGATAGATGGGCTTTAAAGAACATTTAAATTCAAAAGTAAATAGCTAGTTTCAGTCTTTTTTACGTGCGAATACCAAAAATGTGACAGAGAGCCAATTGCATTCTTCTGAAACCCACCAAAAATTCCTACACAACTAAGAAAGTTAAATCATTAGCAATTTGTTTTAAGAAGAATTTTAATTTTGAGATAATAGCTTGCAAATTATCTAGGGATGGATCAGTGAAAAATTCCTGGATTTTCTTAAAACAATTAAAGCAAATGCAACAGTAAAAACATCTCTAACATTAGTGACAAAACACTAGCAAACAAATGCAGCCTTGGCTGTTTAAATTAAAACATTATTAAGAAGTGAAATTAATTGCTTTCTTATATTTACGATGCTAACAGTATAGCAAAACTTACGAATTTGGGAAATGACTGGAGACATTCTCATAATTGAAAAATTATCCAGCATATTATTTTTTCAATAATAATATTGTTTGTTTGGCTACATTCTTTTAAACTATCCAGGGGGTGCAATAAACTCATCACAGCATTTTCTGTCGTTTAATGGTGATATTGAAACCATATAAACCTGCGGTTTAATGTGGCATGTGATCTTCTTGAACATTTCATCAAATGACTTGTCTAATATATCCCATATCTAACAATTTATAAGGCAATGGTTAAGAAAAAACGAATCATCCGAAATTATACAACTGCTAAATTCCAGAAAAGAACGCTTTCATTTAGGGGTATAACTCCTCAAGTCGAAGCACTAATAGAGGGTTTCTCGATGACTGGATTGATAAAAAGTCAAATATTTATAAATTATGGAAATTTGAAGCAGGTACTGAAATTAACAATTTGCAGACGCACTACCAACACGTCAAATTATATATGCGGAAAAATTCAAACAGGGTTGGATTGGAAAACTACGAGGCTGATACTTTATGTGGACTAAGAACATTCGAAAAATCCTGCTGCCGTTTCCTTACAATGGCAGGAACAAAATAAAATTGTCAAAGACCAAATTCGATCTAATTCTAAATCATTAGAATACTTTTCGTATCTGTTTTCCTGGTTTCCTATACATTACAAAATTATTTTTCTACTTTGTAATGGAATGCAATGCTATGATGACAAACAATTTTAAATTATGAAATTCTTATGTATACTTGCACTTTGAGTTGACGATTGACCATGAATTTACCAATTAATTAATTTAACAGGGCTAGGAAAAATTAGGTATAAAAATGAAAAATTTTTAATTGCGTAAATATCATTTCAATGACCAATAAAGATAGTCATTGAAAAACGTTTACTTGTGCAATTAATATGACGGTACTGAATTGTTTGTGCTTTTATAAATATTCGTTATTATACTCATTTCTATCAAGGATTTTCCTTAGACCAGCGCTTTATCCTTTGAGTTTCAGAAGGTCTTGTGTGCAATGAAAATGCAATTTTTCTGGTTTTAGCACTTTAGGATTTTTGATAAATAACTATGCGTTACTTAAACATAGGTTATAGTGAAGACTAAAATTTTCTTTGCCTTGTCTTGTTTATCTGTACCACTTGCAATGGCGATTTATCTCCCATCAATTAGAACGCGGTCTGTTCTCGTGTTGGTAGTTCAGTTCTAGCTCTGTGATTGGGTTGCAATGCAGCCGACAGACGTTGACGGTGACAGTGTGGCTGGTACAAACTTTTGGGAGCCCCATGAGTATTCTCGTACCGTAAAGAGATTGGAGAATGCAAACAAACTTTGCTCAGAATTCGCTCTAATGATTCAAGAACGGTCAGAGATTGAGAGGGCCTACGCTTCCAACCTTCGAAAATTTGCCTTTCGGTTAGATTTGTTTCTTCGTTCTGGCCTTGAATACGGAACTTGCTCTAATATCCTATCAGGCCTTGCAAAAGAAGCCGAGGATACCGCCGAATTACATTCCGTAATTTCATTTCTTATGCCGCTGCTTTCCACGTAGTTCCAATGTTCCGATTAATTGTTCTCGTATTATTAATTTGGTTTCGGCTTACGTAGTACCGTTGAACTTTTGTGTCTTTTCATATTGCTGTTTTGACAATCATGTAGTTATTTCTCCGCATTCCTTGCTTCACAGAATTTCGCTACCAACTTGCTCAATCCAGTTCAGTCTTCAATTAAAAACTGGCAGAAGGAAAATTTCCACAAAAGCTCTATGTCATCGTCACTCAAGGAAGTTAAATCACTTGATTCTGATTTCGAAAATGCGCAGAAGACATGGTACAAACATTACAAACAAGTCAACCGCTGTAAGAAGGAATATTTCCATGCCTGCAAAATTGTCCGGTCTCAACAAGTGCAAGTGCAAAACGCCAAAAATGAGCCGTTTGGGACACCAGAGCAGGTAACTAGCCCCGTTTTGTATTTTATTTTTACTCCTATATAACATATTTATACCAATTTTTAAAAGAAATTTGTTTGCTGCTTTAGCAAGCCCTACAGGCCAAAGAGGTAAGCTATTTCTTGGGCCAAGCAATCACGCAATTTAGCTGCGAGCAAATAATTAATGCTGAAAATGTTTGCTTTTGTGATTATCGATTTATGCGGAAAATCACGGCTTGCATCCAACCTACTTTTTTTATACTTTTCTCGTTTTTCGGTAGATTCCTCGGTGTAGGCCGATTTTGATCGTCAATGTCGTGTATTTTTGTCCACCCGCGTAGATTTGGCTGTTTTCTTGAAATATGCATTGCCAAATTTGAGTGATAAAGACCGATGCCTCCTTGTAAACTTTTGTAGGCCACTGAAAAACGGGTAAGGCTATTTTGGTGTTGATTGAATCCACCCACTGAATTCGCGTAGATTGCCACTGCCTTGACGTTCACGCGACAGTTATCTTTTCTGCGTTCCTAACTACTAGTCGCTGTTCTGCTTTTAGCTGAGGAAAATGGAAGAGAAGTTAAGAAAGGCCACTAGCGAGGAGGAGAAAACCCGTAGGGCCTACGAAGAAGCCGTCGCCGCTCTTCAGGATGTCACTCCTCGCTACATCGATGATATGACCCAAGTAAGCATTTCATCATAGTTGTCTTCGCTAAAAGTCGCAAAGCATCCAAACTCGGCTAAGCTGAGGCCAAGTTTTTTGTGCATGCCATCAATACTTTAATCTTCAGGCTGTAGTCGGCGTTAATCTGAATCTTATCTTTGTTTGACCCCTCTGGCTTTAGCGATTACGACAAATGCGACCTTTGTGAGTCTCTGTGGTAATGGGCGATTGTAAACGTTTGTGGTCAATTTTCGTGCGTCTTTGATCGTGTATTTTACTCCGTTGATCACCGCTTGGGAGATTGCCGAGGGCCCAAATGGTGACATTTCGAGTGCATCTCGCTACTTAAAGCAGATTAGGTACTCTTCTAAACTCGGTAAATGGATTCCTTGCTTTTTGAAACAGCGAGACAATCTGAAGTTTTTCCTACAGCCTTTTGTCTCCTCCCTCGTCAACATCAAACTAAAAAAAGGCAGATTCTGTGGAAATGCTGTCATGTGTGTGTGTTGTGAGGCGAACAATAACTGTGGATTAGTACGGTGAGCGGTCCACCTGATTCAATGTGGAAATCTACGCAAAATGTCCAAATTTTGTCACTCTAATAGGCGTCATATTTGACCTTGACAACGCCAGACCACATGTCGCTCAACAGACGCAGGGGGTCCAACTGGGAAACCCTCCGGTAGTGTCCACCGTATTCCCCAGACCTAGTCTCTTCAGGTCTTCACCTTTATCGCCCTCTGCTAAATTATTTATGAAAATTTTAATCTATGAAATAAGTCAAAATGTGCCCTATGGCTTTCTTTGAATAAAACCTAGGCAGTTTCTACAATAATCAGCAAATACTCTGCACAAGTCAGATGCAAACGTGTGTGGCCACTCAAGAGTAAATGCCACTAGACTGTCGTGCAAGTCGGTCGCCCAATTTTGCTCGTGTTTTTACAGCCACGTGGACTTTGGCCTCCACACCACCTCAAACACCCAGTTAACTTTATTTATCTCACTCAGAGGAGACCGCGTGGGGCTTGCCATGAGCCCGGGTGTTCTGTGTGTTTTGCTTTTTTTGCATCATTCTCTAACCTGGAGAATTTTCCAAGGCCTAACCGACCCCAACAAGGGTGCTTTAGTAGAGCAATCTCTCGTGTGCACGTCTGATGTTTGTCTCCAGTTAACTCCAGTTGTTGAATTGGACCAATAGGGGCAATGCTTGCTTCCCCAAGCCCCCTGACACCAAATCCAATCACTCAATCCTTCGAATTGCCCATTACTTAACACCTGGACTAATTCTCTCCTTTTGCACACAGCGAACAATTCCAGCGTGGGTTTAACTTGCCAGCAATGCAGCATTGAATTGACCCGTAAAGCACTGACCTCGTGTACAAGATCACGGTTAGACTTAGTGCCAAATCGGCTTGTCGTATTTGCTTGCGTTGGTGAATTGTGACTCAAACTGGATGCTTGTTGGCGCATTTATGCACGCACCACACGCATGTGGGTGTTTGTTACTGTTTCCCTCCTCCCCCCCTCGATTGTCTGTCCACAATTTGGGCCAGTGAAAAAAAAAGCAAACTTTTGATAAGCCCTGTATCAGTGTAATTGGATTTCGCCGGTACGCTCAAGCCGCCGACATAGCCCTTTCGTTCCGAGGGTTTGGCATCAGCAGCAAAAAGCGCGCAAATTTTGCCAGCAGTTTTAACAAGCACTGTACTTTATTGCCAAGGTGGGACTCGCAATGAGTTGCTTCAAGTGTGTGGTGATGGCTGCCAAATCAAGGCCCATTCCAAAATTAACCTGGAAAATTCCGTTCTGGGGCGGTTTGCTCAGCGTCGACTAATTTGGGTGTTGATGAAACACCCACGTCGAGGCCAGCAGTCGACCCGGATTGTGGTTAGGCAACTGCGAAGGTCGATGTGTTGGAGCTGATCGAAATTCACTCAACACTACGAATCGGACGGAGCGTTGCTTCAAAAGACTTCACTTTGGTGTCGAATTTTGTCTTTCAGGTGTTCAACAAGGCCCAGGCGTTTGAGAAGGAGAGGATCAATTTCTTCAAGCAGCAGGCAATGCAAATGCACGATGTCCTCGACGTCTCGGCCAAGCCCAAGTGAGTCTCGTCTAAGTTTTCGTCGAATTTCGTGGAGGATTCTGCGTCAGTGTGGTGGTGGTGGTGGTAGTCAGTTCTCTTTCCCCTTTTCCCACCCCCTCTTTCGGGCTCTCAATTTTTCGGCCCTGTCCCAGTCCTCACACGTGCCTCCGTCCTGCCACCTGATTGGTTCCGCGCTTATTGCAGTTTCTCAGCATCGCCTGTCGCCCAAAGACAGCAGCGGATGTGGTTTGTAGCCACGCGACAATTTTTCATCCAATTCCCACCAACTAATTGCTATTCCCTGCCTTCACGGGCTCTGTTTCGGCTCTAGTAGATTCACACCCAATCACCCCATCCACTAGAAGTCAGCCAACCAACAACGCCGACAATCTCGTTAACACCACACCCGAAACACGGATTTTTACTTGAAGTGCTTCTAGTGCAGGCCTTGGAATGTTGGTGTGGTGTTACCGTGCCAAATGTAGTGTTATTTGTGTAGTTCACGAGATGAGAAGTGGGTTTGCTTGTGGTGCGTCAATGACACCTCGAGGCTGGAAGAGTCGTTTGGCAATTCGCCTGATTGATCGCGGAATCGTCCATGACTGATCGAACCCCCTTCCGGGAGTAGATTAGAGTGAGCGGTTCACCATAAACCGTCTCCGTCTCTCTGTGTGTGGGTGCTTTTCGGCACACACACACACACAGCTCCACGTTCTGATTATGCGTGTGTGTAGGCGGGTTTGTGTGCTTGCCGAATCGACTAATCCACCGTAATCTCGTCACTGTCTCACAAGCCTCGTTCGTCATACCACATGCAAGCAACTGGGCATCGATTTTTGTTTTTTTCTAAGTACCGGCACCTACAGCCCCTTGTGTCACGCTAACCTTTTTCCCCTCCCTCCTTCCCCGCAGCCTCGCGCAAATCTTCGTGGACCTGAAGAACACGATCTCCAAGGTGGACGCTGACGCCGACCTCAAGAAGTGGTCTGTCACCCACGGCGTCGACACGCCCATCAACTTCCCATCTTTCGAGGTAATTTCCACTAAACCACCTCTTACCACGCTGGTTGTGACCCTCCACGCCACACACACACACACACGCACACACAGAGATGACTGCTTCCACTTAAACTGGGTCCAACAACGTTTTTGGCTACCCGTTTAATGAGGTCATTCAAGCACACACACACACACGCCCACCGTTTCGTCAGTGTGCTTTATGCAAATTAAATGGCTCTTCTATGTAAATTTACGCGATAAAGTGTTTGCCAATTGAGAGGTGACAGGTGTGTGATCAAAGTTGATCCGATCTCGTTTACCCTAACCGATGTCCCGCTCTTGTTGCCCCCCCCCCTCCTAGGAGTACAGTCCGGAGTTGTGCGCGCTGGCGGGCAGCAAGAAGAAGAAGTCGGGGCTCGCGGACGGCAACATCGGGGTCACTTTGACGGGAGTTAAGTCGATCACCTCGCCAGATCACCAGCCCGCCGGAACGCCTCACCCAGGCTCCAACGAGAGCTCTCCAACTCGAACTGCGTAAGTCTCCCGACTGTGATTGGTTGATTCTGGCGTAGGCTAACACCGTCAGACGAGCACAGGTTGTGCATTGCGCTGGTGTAAGGGTGGATTTTCTTTTCTGGCTTCCAATATCCCGCATTTACGTAATTTGAACCGTTCTCCACACATTTGCTTAACTGTGTGTCAGGGGATTTCCAGTACGTGCTTTCCACAACACCCCTCCGCCCCCCCCCACTCACCAGGTACCCAAGAAACGCGATTTATCCCAAACGGAAGAACGTCAGGTCAGCGTTGAGTGGTCTAGACTTACTGGGCTGCTGTGTTGTAGTTTACTGTCTGTTGTATTTTCTTTGTCAATGCGCTGGAGTCTCGTAAGTGTCGCGAATCGGTCCCCCTCCCCACTTCCCCCCGCTCACAAGCACCGAGGCAACGGTAGGTTAGTGCACCCTTAGTGCCGCGTGTGTGTGTGTTTGTGGTGTTGACGGTGTCAAAATCACCTCCTCCTCCTCCTCCTCCAACCGTTCTTCATTTTTGCACTTACCAGAGTCTTAAGGCAGCAGTGGAAGTCGTTGGTGGGCAGGGTGAAGACCCTTGCACCCAGACCTCCCTCAAAGACGTCGGCACAGAGGTCAGTTTATCGCACACCGGATGGTAGATTTCAGGTGCTAGCTTTAACTTCGTTTTCGCCTGGTGACTGTGTGTGTGTGCGTGTGTGTGGCGAATTCACTCGACTTGGCCCCTGAGCCGCCTTCGTGTGCGTCAGAATGACGAACTTGCCGCGATGAGCACGTGATTTTATGACTCGTAGATACTGCTGATTGTGTGTGTGCGTATGTGTATGTGTGATACCCTACCATCAACCCCGTCGACTCGCGAAGCCTTGCTAATCTACTCACGTCGCCACCGAATCCGCCTTTCTGCATGTCAGTTTGACGTGGTTGTTGCAGTGAGCACGTGATACGTGGATGCTGCTGAGTGGGTGTGATATTCACCAATCAAATATCGCTAAATCTCGAGGAATTTACTGGATGTTAGTAGAACGTGTTTGTCGCGGTGAGCCCTGATTCAAAGATACTCCGTAGACACCGCCCAATCGAGCCGACAAAACGAGCCTTCTTTACTGATTCTTTAGTTCGATCGATTGTTCGCTAGCCAATCATTGCTCTGATTCGTCTTTTAATCGGAGTGACTTGTCGGATTTGTGTTTCTTATTGTCTTGTTATTTGTAAAACCAGTGTCTTATCTTGGTATTCCCTCCTTGTCGCCTCCTCCTCGCCCCTCCCCCCTACTCTCTGTCATCGTTGATCACCGTGACCGTTTTTATTGCTTAAATCTTGATTATCACCTTGGTGCCTAACGCTAATCACAGCAGCACGGAGATGCCTCCAGCTAGCGACGTTGATTCTGGCCTTGATGCGCCAATCAATACGCACCCCACTGAGCACACGAGCTCCGATTGGTGCGCCGATGCACACTCTGACATTGATCTAGACAACGGCGATGGCGGTCAGGCGGAACGCGTGCTGATGACTAGCGCCTCGGTCGGCGTGGAGAAGGATCACATCGTGGAGGTCGCTGGTCGCCGCAAACGCAGTCCCAGTAGCATCCAGTCTGGCGAGGAGTCGCCGACAGGGCACCCTGAGGAACCACAAAAAATGTCTGCTTAGTGACTTTGCCTCTCTCTCTCTATCTCTCTCTTTGACTTTTAGTCTTCCCGCTTTGGTAGTTCGATTTTAAGATCAATAAATGTTCTAGTCACACTGAGGGGGTGCCGAACCTACTGTAAGGCAGGGGAAGGGGGTATAGGAGTAGTCTCGATTCCCGCCCAACTGAATCGATCGGAGTCGGAGGTTTCTTGATTTCAAACTGTGTTTAAATCATCGGATTGCATGTTGGTGTTTCGGATATGCTAACTTCCCATCAGGCAGTTCCACGACAGGGGCTTCCACGCTTCCAAGGTGCGTAATTTGTGTTAGCAGGACGACCGTCGTGCTTGTTTCCGTAAACTCGGACGACTTCCGCGTCAGCCCAAGTTCCGATTTTTTTTGGCGTGTGCTTAGCTTGTTTGTCCTTTTGGCGTAGCGTGATTGGCCTTTATTCCCTAGAGCAACTGACCAGACATGGTGTTACGATGGCGCTTATTGTGTTTTGTCGCGTTTAGTGCTAATAACCCTTCGTCAATCAACGGCATCGCCGCCACTGCCGCAGCACCTGCCGACGTCCCACCCTACCCCGACTTAATCGATGACGGAAGACCTGGTGTGCCAATCCGCGCTCTCTACGACTACACTGGCGTGGAAGCCGACGAGTTGTCCTTCAACACCGGTCAGTTTTGCGCTTTCTGTTGTGATTTTAAGCAGTCTTTACGAAGATTCGCATAAATGGAATGATAACTCGAGGATGTATTAGCGTCTGCAGCTCTGAGGCCAGATCAACCACCCTCGAGATTGAAATGAACGCATCTGATTGGTAGTCCGTGACCTTGGAGAGCTGCAATGTCTAGCGTTATTAACCAATAGTCAATCGATGTCGTCATGTGGCCATTTGGCGTTTTGATTTAGTGTGGTTCAAGAAGATTTTGGGGAATTGTGTGTGTGTGTTTTTTTGGGTACGTGCCCTCAGCCAATGGGATTTCGTGTGACTTGACTAAACCATCCAATCATCTTCTTCCCCGTCAAGGTGACCTCTTCGAGAAGTTGGAAGACGAGGATGAACAGGGATGGTGCAAAGGACGAAAGGACGGCCGCGTTGGCCTCTATCCGGCCAACTACGTGGAGGTTGTTAGATGAGCTTCGCTCACCTCCCACCTCCGCAACCTCCCACCTTCAATTTCCAGAGTCCCTTGTCTTCACGCCATCACGCTCTAGCGATATCACCTTATCTCCTCCTTTTGTTCTCTTGCCTACTCAAATGCACACACACACACAAAAACTCATTCCACTGACAGCGCTATGCATATACCCACGGAGACCGCCACTACCACCACCACCACTAGCCCTCTTAACACGAACCCGCGTCTATTTGCTGCTGCGCATTTTATATTCCGTAGAAGAGAGGTGATACTCCCCTCCCTCCCCCCCTCCCTCTCCCCTCTAGCTCTATTGGTTTGTCATTTCCTGTGCATGTGCATGTTGTCTATAAATACGGAAGTGTTTTGCCGACTGTACGTGAATTTCAAGCGTGCGTGCCAGTCACACCGCATAACTCTCGTTCCCGCCTCGCCTGTGGTGGTGTCTCGTGTAGGAGATCCAGATAATTAAAGCATCTTTTTTTTTCAATAGAACGCCTTTTCGCGTCAAATTTGTTAGTGTAAGGCCAAATCACCAACTTGAGCGACGTTTGCATTGTCCCCGGTGAAATAGAGACTGGGTAATCCCTGGTCCACCGTTGTCTAACCCCATTGGTCGACCTGACCTGTGACCTTGCACCTGATTGGCTAAGGACGGGCAACCGCATATCCCACAATGGTATTTACATGCAAAGGTTACGAGCACGTTTTTACATCGCTGGTCGGTACGTTTGGCTAGGGGGGGGAGGGATTGAACGGCAGATATATTTTTTTCGGTTTGTAAAAAGCTCCACATCCTGGGTAGTATCAAGTTACAGTCGGTTGTAGGTGAAAGGAATATGGCGCTTCTGCAGAATCGTGATAGCAGCAGCTCAATTCTGCCAACCTCGGTTTTGCCTAATGTTGGTTTAAATTGAGTCAGGACGAGGATTGGCTGAAAATTTGAATTAAGGGGACCACAAATAAACTGCTGACGCAGCTGACAATCGCCAATCGACGACTTGAACGAAAGGTTTCCTGGGTTGTTTGGATGTAAATGTTGCTTAAAGAGAGCATTCTGATTTAATTACGACCACACGACACCCTCAATCCCCAGACCATGTGTTTTAAATCTGTTTCCCTCTATAAGGACTCATGCAAATATCGTCTACCTCGTTCCACCACTTAACATAGGAATACTTGAAACTAAGGGGGTGATTTTTGGCCAAAATACAACAATTTACAGTAAAATAAATGCTGGACAGCTGCCGACGCCCGTCAACTTAGTTGTAAAGTCCAAAAGCAGGACATCGAACTTTGTGAAATCGTGTATCCACGGCTTCGTCACCACGCACTATCGACGTCTGTGCCAGCAACAAGATGCGAACCATCAATCGTGAACGTGGTGCGAATGAACGCCGTTTTTGCGATGGCACTGGCGCTGCACTACCGCGTCTCTTTTTTGCTAAGTTATAAGAAATAGCAGCACTCATATATAAAGAAATACTTTTTAATTCATTGTGGTGACTTTCCCCGCAGCGAAAGCTGATTGGTTCATACTGGACCCGATGTCCTGTTTGAATTTACGGATCTTCTTGTTAACTCCAGCTAAATAATTTATCAGTTAACCTCGTTTGTTTTGTATTCCCTGTTTTAAATTTGGAAAGCAAGCGTTTTTTGTCGAATTACGGTAAACTATCTTACAAATTGGTTTCTATCATATCCTGGAAATTTAAATTTAACGATTGCACCAGTGAGTTGAAATAGCGTTACCGGTGTTAGACAAGACATTTAAATGCATGCCAGAGTCCCCACAGAAATTACGTTGACATTTGTAATGCAAATTGCAGGCAGATCCTATAAAGAGCACTTTTTAGAAGTAGCGCCCAAAGAAACCAATGAGACTGCTGCCACAAATAAGCCAACAAATCCGGTCATTTCATTGGGCAATTTGAATTAGTTAAGTACATGGGACAGGCGGCAGATCAAAGAATTATCTTTTTAATCCGAAAAGGCGAATTCAAGGGATTTCCCAACACACCCCCATCAATAATTCACCCAAGCTGAGACCATAACCTTCTTACACACGTTTTCAAATACTAATAATTACAGGATTCCCATTCATTAAAGCACACTAAAAGCTGCAAATTAGGCATGTTTTACAGTGAAATCCCTCCGTTCGCTAAATACGACCTTGCTGACATCAATTGCCGAGTGACTGGCTAGGTAAAAGCAATCAAACCCCAACTGATATTTGAACATGGCGCGAAATTGCGTTTGGATTTCGGTGTAGTTCCATTTACATAATGCCAGTAATTGTCAGTTTGTGCAGTCATGCTGTTAAACAAACTCACAACGGCTATCACGACTTGAACTTTGAACAAGCACATGTCCTTTTTGTAGTTAGTTTTTTGTGGCTCTCTGATCAAAGTCACATAAACTGAATTCCCGGAATTAGTGAGATTGACATTTAAAAAAAAATAAAATATGTTTAAATTGTGAATTAGCTAAATGGAATACAAAAGAAGCTGTGTTTACGCTGCCTAATGCTGGAGTTAATGGCAACCCCGCTCACTTGAGCGTTACTTTTGTTTTAATCAACCCCGTTCACTGTCCTTAACAGTACTCTTTTTACCGCCATCTTGTAGTTCATCGCGCTATAGTACGATAATTCTGCCATGATGGTGGTGTTGGCAGATTGCAAAGAAACCTTTCTATATACCTATTTCTCCAACACTAATCTGGCAACTCCGGTAATATAATGAACCACAATTTAAAATGAGCGCACCTCTCTCATTGGTCAATTTGAACTACTTCTGTTTTTGGATTGATTACATCCAATTACTGCGCCTGCACCTTCGTGCTAATAAACTGAGTTAAAATCTGCTCTCTGAAAATGTTTTAATCCAAGCTTAAATAATCGATTATAGTTGATAGACAAAGAACACATCCACCCATTTCTATCTGACATTTTAAATTGCATATTTTAGCAAGAAGTTTACATGACACTTGGCATGAGGTGAAGCACTAACGTTACAATGTTTCAACACACTAGAAAACAGCATTTAATGTCTTCTTGAGAAAATTTTAACGATGAATTTTGTAGCAACGTTCGGTGGGAATCAATTGTCGCTGGAAGTACTTTTAAAGGAATACGAGAGTAAATAAATGAATGGTTATATTTGCTACCATCGGTCTTGCCTCTCTCCTCTGGTTGTCACGGACTGTCGACAAAAAGGCTTTTCATGTAGGGCTAACTAAGGCCCTACAGACTTTCCCTAGTTGCAGATGATTAAGCGGAGATTTTGGTTCATTGATTAAACCAAACACTGGCGCTAATATTTAGTACTTTAAAAACCACCCAATCATATGCGGAGGACACAATCGAAGCCGTAATCGATTGTGTGTGCCTTGTACTTGAACAGTGCTGAGTTAATTCGTTAATTAGATGTACCAAGTTACTCTGTCTTGTGTGAACTGTAGGCGACCTCGAGATTGACCCAAGTAATCACACAAGTTGGAAGATTATCACGTGTTCCGACGAAGCAGATCGTCCAGACATCAACTGCGGTGTCTTGTGTATAACTTGCAAAATGCATCCTTAAGGTAAACAGGCAATTTCATTAAAACTATAATCATTATTGTTTACTAATTGTGCTTTGAAAACACCGTAAATTTTTGATTGGTCATCTCGAAAACACGTATTTCTGTTGTTTACGCCGTTAAGGTTATGAAGGCACTTATGATTGGCGTGCGTCTTTCATAATTTTTACCCCGAACAACCGAAGTAAAATAAGTCGGCAAGGATGAAGTACAACGATTTCAGCGCTTCAGGTGGATCTGTAGCGGATTAACAGCGATTGCGCCTGAGTAAACCCTGTCTGCTGACCTTACGGCGACAATGTCTCATCCTCTTTTCATTGGTTACTGTCATCAGACGTCTGTCATCCGCCCACTCATCCACACACTAAGAAACGCACTTGGTTGGCGTGACGCCAATAAACGGTCGTGTCCTCTGTCGACTCTCCTTACTTCGTTCTCGCGTTGTTACGGCCTGTTAACTAGAGGCTTGTTAGGTAGTGCTAAAACTCCAGCTACTACAGATCTTTGCACAGAAATTCTAGTTTAAATGGAACCGGGCATAGAGAATCCGACTGCCTCTAATTGACCTTCGATATGGTACTTTAGATTGTTCCAAAGAAAACGATCAGTTTGGTCAATTTGCAAATGTACCCGTGTTTGGTGAGCTGCGAAACGCTACTTATGTGCGCTGTACCCGAGAGGGTGCTTCGCACTTTGATAAAACTCATTTTTCAGCGAAACCTCTATGCAGGAAAATGACGGCAGAAGTTGTCAGATCATTCAAATCAAATGTGACGATGTGTCAGAATTAAGCTATCAATACCCGAAAAGTCAAATAAAATTGACTCAAAGCCAGCCAATCCGGATTCGAACCTGCTGAAGTACATTTTTTTTCTAAACCATAACCGAGCATCACTTTATCACACTTTATTCGTTAAATGAAAACTATTTTTTGATTTTCATCATCTGATCCACACTTTTAAAACGAAATTTGGCAATAAAATCAGTGTTCCTTAATTGTTTAAAGTTATTTTGTCTAACGATTGCAGTTGTTTTTCGAAAACATCCGCACGCTTACTAATTTCAACACCCACGCCAATTCACTTGATTTAAAGAAATGAGTTGAATTTCCTTGCACTCATTGGTTTGTGAATAAATCGGAGGCAATAGCGAGTTTTTATTGGCTCGTTGTTGCATCAAACAACTGGTCGAATCACAACGTGCTGTTGCTGCATCTCAACGACATCCTTGTAATTAGATTGGTCCAAGGGCAAATACAGTAATACCAGGTTGTTATGCAAAGTAGAAACACATAGCGTCTCAAAAGCCCTCTGAACATCTAATTAGCTCGCGAAAACCAGACGTCGGTAGAAGAAGAAAAAGGCTTCAGCCTGTACTCCAGGCTGAGTGAGTTGTGATTGGTTTGCTCAGTGAGATCAGTTCAGGTGGCCGATTGGTTCATTTCTCGCTACCCGCCACTTTTAATCAATCAATATTCTCATTTCGTGAATCAATTTAAATCAAGACAGGTTTTATTACTTTTCGTAAATTGATACTTAGAATGTGCAAGTTAATGCCACCTCAAAAACGGCTGGACAAGTTTACCTTAAGTGAAAAAAAACACATTTCACTTTAATTTCTCTGTCCACCGGCGAATCGGCATTCATAAATCACAAAATGCTTCAATTTGAGCTCATGGTTTTAAGGCACTTTGGTAGTTCAAAATATGAAGATCTTTTGCACTTTGTTTCACCCGCGAATCGATAACCAATCATCGATGCGTCTGCTTTTCACTTCCACCACATTCATTATACTCGGCCAATTATCGAGCGAGTTGTAGGAGTGTCGCGTTTTTTGGAAACCACATTTTCAAATTCTTTTACTTTTCTTTTGTACCTGACGTCTTCCACATTTTCATTCTTCGGTCCCCTTCAGCCTATCAGATAGTTGGTGCTGCACACCTATCAAATTACACCGATCGCGCGATTAGCGTTGATAGTGAAGATGGCCCAGTGGTAAAGATTGTGGTTCGTGTGACTATTTGCGCCACAATAATTACAAATTCTTTCAAGACAATAAGTTTAATGATGTAAATGAGCTATGGCAACGGCTTGAATTAACTTGAAACACCACTGCGACAGCGATTTCTTGCCTCTGAAAGTTGTCGGCATACCTGCGGATTTGAGGCACTTAAAAAGCCGACGCGAAACTCTTTCATCGCCAAAACACTTGGTTCTGCTCACGCTACGGCCAAATGAAAACGTCTTGATGCACAAATAAAACAACGTCTGCATCCAATCACATTAAAGAGCTTTGGGAGTCGTTCCGAATTTCGCTCCACTGTCTAGTTAGTTAGCTAGTTAGTTTTGGGAAATAAGGTGCACAGAAGGACACGTAATTACCGTGTGAAGTAGCAAAATTTGCGGATGAGTTTGTCACGCCCACGAAGTTAATCTATTAAGCCACGTTGCTGGCAGCACTGCAGCAAAGAAAACTACCGCCAACTCCACCTCGAAAAAGATAAGTGCGGCGGACGAAATTCGTGAAAATTTTATTCACAAATTAATATTTCAAGGAGTAAATTCAAATCCATTACACGTTGGATTGATACGGCAAGGTTTGCGGCATCTGGGCATTAGAGCGATCTGCCCTCCTCACTTAATGCCTATGGAAAGAAAAGGTGTTAATTTAAGTAATCTTTAGTCTTACCACTTCCTTGTTCGCCACATCCCTTCTTTCAAAAACTGCAAAAGTAAAGAAAGTTGAACAAATGAGGCCATTTTGGCGCGCGTGTGTATTGATTTTCGATTTTCGCGCAAAGTGTAAACTCTCGCGTAGCCATAACAACCCCACAGTGTCCAATCAAAACAAAAGTACTTCTGGCAGTTCTACGCCATTGGTCAAAAGTGATTGATGATTGTCATAGTTTGATTTTGATGACATTAAAGTTTTTAAATATCAAATTAACTGCAAATTTGCCAGGAGACCTAATGTGCGCCACAAAAACGTCATTAGAATGTTTTCTGATTCCATGATCTACCACCTTATTTTGACAGGCAAGAAGCCATTTAATGCACACCAAAAACACCACCTTAGCCGTTTCAAATTCACTCTAGTGGCACATCCGCTTAAATCTCACCACCATCACTCTAGTGTAGCATATTTGTTTAAGTAAACTGCAGCGCTTGTGGGTGGGAATTAAACAAACAACCCGCACTAGCCTTTTTTCATAGTAGTGAAGTAGATATTTTGTGTAAGTGCGATTTTTTCAAGGTAGCCTCTGACGCTGCCCGTGATGGCGGGCAGGCCGATCCGAGCTAGCCGGTCGTTTGCGCAATGCGCCAGCGGTTGGAGTGGATCTACCAATCTGGTGAAGGCAGCCGTTGGTTTGTGCTTCCAGTGTGGGTTCACGGATTCACTAAGTTTGCGGAAAAGGTGCAGTTGAGTGCGTTCACGAGGAAAATAACGACGAGGTACGGAGACGCAAGGGCTTACTTCGATTTAATGCTACCTGGCAACTTGAACGACGAGTTGCATTGCATGAAGACCTTCCGGAAGAGGCCTAACGTCTGACTACTCGGTGACTCCTCCTGCAGTTGTAGAAGCATGTCTGCGAACGCCGTCGGCTGGAGGCGCTCCTGAAGCACTGCCAGTGAAACTCTTACGTCGTCGTTGAACCTGCTTGACCTAGTTCCTGAATAACTGCCTCCTAGGGGTGTTGTCAAGATGGACCACCGACTTGACGACGTAGATCTGTGTTCCTCGTCCATCGCGTCGTCACCACTCGTGACTTGGAGCCTCGAGTTGTCGCCGTAAATTATGCGTTTCCAGTAGGCCTGGGGCTTAGACTCAACAAACGCCAACATCTCCGCGCCAGACAGTCGCCACTGCGCTAGGTCATCTCTGTCTCGACTTTGAGTAGATCGGGTGTGCGAGAGGCTGCTGAGTTGTCGCAGTTTGTGCGACGAGTCGTCGCTATCGTCTCCTCCCAGATTGCCCCAGCCCCTGGCAGCGATCTGGGCGTGCAACAACCGCAGCACCGTGTTCTTGGCCTTCTGAATGCTCCGGAAGGTGGAGTCGCGCAGACGGCTTTCAGCGCGTCTCAGCTGAGACGACTGGCTGAGGATTTTGCTGGTTTCCCAGGTCCGCGACAGGTGTTTGTCGTCGAGGTGGTGCGAGGCGGCGATGAAGCGTGCCACCGACGCGCGACGGCTCTCCTTCTCGTCTGGAGTTAGCGTGGATGTGATTGAGGACTCGGTTTTGGAGGAGAGTGTTGGCAAGGGGAAGATATCAACTGAGGTGGACTTTAGGTCACCGAGGAAACTTCGTTCGTCCGGATGGCGTAAAGTCACATCGGTGTTTCGCAGGAGTCGACTATCTCGATTCCGTCGGCTCGAGCCTTCGTGGTAGGATGAGCTGAAATGCAGTCATACCGTGGGCCAATTCACGTCTCAATAGTTTAATCTTCCTCACAGATAAAAATAACTTGATTTTACATTGTTTTCAAAGATTTCTTTGATCTCTTGTACACATCCAAAGCTCTTCGTAGCGATGACAAAGCAAATTACCTCGTTAAATGTCAGGAAAGCCGTGAGATATGACTATGACAAATTAGCGGCACATGGCGATTAAAACAAAGATATCGATTTTTCGCATTGAGCTTCGATTTTCGCTCTACCCACCTTGATTGGCTAATCAAAAATCAACCTAGTTGGTACAATGCATGAGGTATGATCGATTGGCGTCGTTTTTGATAATTTTTCGACCCCGTGAGTAAAGCAAGAAAACGAACGAAATTGACAATACCCAAGTCGGTTTGGATAGTTTTTTTACAAATATTACCTACGAAAATAGTCGATCTCGCCTCCTTCGCTTTGTATATGTGGGGTAATTGTTGACCTGTTTGAGGACGGGAGAACGCAGCACTGCAGTGAGTCCGAGTCGGAAGACTAAAAATGTTTCAAGTTTCTGGCCTCAAATTTACACTCTACTTATGTCATTTCAGTAGATATAAATGCGGCGTACCTCATCTTTGGCAAGGGTATCCTCCACGTCCAGAATCACCAGAGACAATTTAAGGCGCCTTTCAGCCTGTTGGTAGACCCTCGATTTGACCTCGCTGCCAATTTCCTTCACAATTAAGATAATAGCATAACTTTTTAACACTGCGCACCAAAGTTTCATCCTCTTATCACGAGTCAATAATTATGGATTTTTTTGGCCACAACAACCACATTTTGTAACTAAAATTGCTTGACTCCTAGGTGAGGTGCATGCGTCTTGAGAATTTCATATCACTGCTTATCCGAAGATGACTGGTCTCTATGACTCCATGCTAATCGTTCATTGGTTCCCACGCGAACAACCAATCAGCAAGCTGTATCATGAATCACAACGTCCGCCCACACAAACCCACCGTTAACGCATCAGGCAATCTGATTTTGACGTAAATTTACCAAAAAAGAAAGAATATGACTGTGACACAGTTACTTGCTATTGCAATTTAGCCTAACATGGTTGTCGACAATGGCGACAATGATGTTTTCTCATTTCTGCTACTCATGCACCAATCACATCTCGATAAGGAATTTGGCAAGGGTCTAAAAATCTACAAGAATACTTTCTGCGAGAGCGGATAGGGACGAGGCTGTTATGGTTAATTCGTGCCATCTTCCCGGTGCTAAATGAGTCACAATAACTCACTCTGAGCTTTGCAATATCCTCCATCCTGATTGGTTCTCGGCGGCTGCAATCACTATCCACATCATCATCAGCTTCACTTGTACACTCCTCCAAGAATGATACTGGAACTCGATCACGATAGGCTTTGCACAATCGTATATTTATCGCTTAAATAATCAATCAATACATGACTATGAGCAACCAGGTTATGTGAAGAAGTGGCTCTTGACATCTCTTCTACCATTGGTTCAAAAACAGCCTACAGGGTTGACTGAATGATAGTTTTGATTGGGTTTAATAAACCTTGAGCATTTCATATTCTCACTACGTATAGGCGATCGTTATGCACAAAAAAATTTAATATTAGTGGCGGTGAATCACACGTACGAGTGTTTGGGAAAAATTCGTTCCACGGACTTCGAATCGTCGCCTGAAGAGGGAAGGAAACATGATTAGACTCTGGCTGGAAGCCTTCCTGGCGATTCACTGAACGAAATTAGCTTAACGTACCGCGGATTCCTTGTTGAAATGCGATGCAGTCTAGGAGTGTCCGAAACAAAAATAGTGCTAGATTTAATCGTACTTGGTGAATAGTGTTAGAAGCTAGTGCATTCGGGTGAGATCTTCTCAAACGTGAGTGAACTGTTTTTCAGCTAGATCGTTTAGTCTCAAGTAAGGATACTTGTTCAATTGCTGTACATACATATAAATACAGAACTGTCATCTTTTGCAAATCGATCAACGACGTGAGTCTATAGCCTGTGCAAATCGATATCGTCTACGCGTAAAATACTCTGACAACGACGACGCTCCGTGTTCAAGGAATGCAGGCATTCTCTGACTTAATGTAGGCTGCCGACCTACAAATTCTGAGCCAGCGTTGTGTGTGTCGACTTCGTGTTGATAGTCGTCTTTGTGGAAACATGCAAGATACCTCCGATTCTAGCTCCACATCCACATCTACCAGCGACTCTCAAGAGTCCGGTGGCGATAGGCCACAAGCCACAGGACATTTCACACTGAACTTGGGAAGCTTTGCTCCGATTCTTGAGCGCTATATTGAGTCCGCTTTACAGCCCTCAACAGAACCTCGTGCGCGTTGTCAAGAGGCAAGCTCACACGCGAAGCCAGGTAACAGCCGCCCACTAACAGTCCCGGCTCCACCCAACCCAGCGCCTCAAAGCGGTGGGACTGGGAGAGCGCGTAGTCGATATCTCATCTCCGATTTTGAGTACTTTCCGAACAGCTTCAGCCAGCGAATGAGCACATCAGGCTTGGGAAAGTGCCCGAGGGTGGAAATTAAGATTCCATACTGGTGTGAGAAGGAAATCAACGTAGAACGGCACTGCTACCCCATGGGATTAGCAAGATACATACAAAGAGGCCCGTCCACGTCGAATTTTTCGATGTGGGACGCAATGGCCACAAGGGTACTGCTGTCGCCTGAGCCGAATGAGGAGGTGGAGGACACCTCAGACGAGGCCTACATAGCGATGCACGAGCGCACGCAGGCGGAGCTTCAAGAAGGCGGGCGTGAGGCGCACGAGGAAGACGGCGCCTCGAAATTCACAGCCGTCCGCGTCGACGAATACGCCCCCTACCCCGACCTCTCCCACGACCTTGACCCTGACCTCTACATGCCCACACGACTGGCGCGTTTTTCGAACAAACGAGTAGAAATTCACGTCACAGATGAGATACCTGTAATTGCGTTCGGCGTGAAGGTGCCTAGGCCTAGGTCTGAACACTTTCTACTACCCTTGCGTCCTCGGCTGAGCAGGAGGAAGGGGGCCAAATTAAAGAAACGCAGACTATAAGCTGCAGTCATTTCTTTTTGTTTCTTGTCGATGTCCGTCTTGTAGCTAAATAAACTGCTTCCTTGTCTCGCTTCCTGATTCGCAGCACTCTCAATCCCAGGATGATCTAATGACATTTCTGTTTGGATCTACGACGATGAGGGTGGGAACAAGTTCCGTGTAATCTACTTTCCGTGACCTTCCACGATGTGGGGGCCACGTTGACAACTTATCAGTGTTAATCACTAATCTAGCTGTTGATTGTCGTTTGCTTCCTACCTGCATCTAATTGGTTAGCCTTTTAGAACACGTGTCAACCCATTCGCCCACAATAAACAGTGATTTGCGTTAACCTGGTCAAGATTATGACTCGGATAAAGAAGCAAACCAAATCGGAGCCGTGTAAAGTTTACTTTTGAAAGATCAAGGACACATACCCGAAGACCATTCCTCCAGTCATTGGTGGGTAATTTTAGCCAATCCAACACAGTTAGGTAGTCGAGGGCCTGATCATAGAGTATTTGGGTGTCAACCAGTTCCGGTAAGGCGCCGGAGTTCAGGATAAACAAGGTATCCATCAAGTCGGGAACAACTAAGCCGGCAACCTCTTCGGCTTGTTCGCTTGTAAAGACCTCCATGCTAAAGTATAAAAATGCGCAACGAACGAACGACTCGGAGATCCAGTTGTTTGGTAGATTTAAGATTAGGCATCATTGTTAGTGTACAACACGGTTGAGGGAACTCACTCAATCAGGACGGCGATTTCGTCAAAGAGGAGTCTGTTGGCTGACCAGTTGTGGGGACAACTGAGGTAGAAGCACCTCTCAACTGGCGAGGAATATTTGAACCAGCCAAACTCCGTCGCTTCCCTGAGGTGATTTCGAAAACTTGTCTTGTGCTTGGAAATCGTGGCGTAAGAAACGAAGCTATCCGAACTGTCCGTCTAAAGTCGAGATCGCAAGTGCGGAGACTGTTAGCGCTTGGTTTAAGCAATACAATGCAAATTATGTGAATGCACCAATACCGGCTTTTGAAAACCGCGCGGGTTTTGAATTTGACCAATAGCAACAAAATACATCAAATGCAGGCTCTTAGGCTCTGACCAGAGTTCGGTGAAGTGATGATTATTTAAAAGAAATTAGAATCATGCCCGGCATGGCAACATCCCTAGTTAAGTAAACACGCGCTAATTTGAGTGGTGGCTTTCAGAAATTTAAACAAAATCGCGCAAACCAATGAAAATCGATGACTGAGTTTGCCAATTAAGATAAGGTAATTTTTACCCGATCAGCCGAACCCATTGAGGATATTGACATGGTATCTCTACCCTGGTTCGTGTTAGTTTGACGATGTATGTCAGACCACTTTGCTTTGTGGACTTGAATCAAGGGCCTAAAAACGAATGGAGAATGGACACCAATAATGACCGTGCAATCTCACTCCATGACACGACACACTGAAAGTCAGAAACTTACGCACTATCAACGGTGATTGGTTGCGTAAGAGCCAATGGCGGAAGCGGTGGCAGATGGCCAATCGGCTTCCTCCTTCCAAAGGTGCATTGTGGTGCCGGTGCCGGTCGAAAAGGAAGCGATCGTAAAACAATCACCGATGAATCCTTCGGTAAAGCTTTGCCCAATAGCCTTTCAACTGACGCGCAGTAGGCTACCTGGTTCTTTGGGAGTGAAAAGGGGGAGTCCTTGTCCCCTTCTGAGAGAGCACAGGTGCCTTGATGCTCGGGATTTGGATCATCAACCCACTGCCACGACACACACTCCTTCAGTTCACGTTCCCTAATGCCTCGCCAGTTCTGCAATGCATGCGCATCTGCAGAGGCTGACAGTTTTGGAGTCCAGGGCTTGTACAGACTGCTGATTGAGTCGGGTAGGAGTTTGGCCTGGCCAACATCTGGCTGTTCTATCCTTTTCAGCCTGCGTATGTCCACGCGAAATGTGTACTTCCTTGGGAATTTACACTGACAAAGGGGCTTAAGTGTTGGGCGGCCAGAGGCAGTAGCAATGAACCGGTACGCACGTCGCTGTAAGTTAATCCCCTCGTCCAAAAGAGTTGGGGTGAGTCTGAGTTTGCGCAGTTCCGATGCTGAGTAGTCGTCAAGAGGTGCGCCTGCCCCGCCACGACCAGCGGAGCCCTTGTGCTTGCCTTTTCGCCGCCCACTACCCGATCCATCACTGTCCAAGTCATCCGTCGATGAGCCCTGATAAAGGGGGCAGATATTGGCCAATGAAGTTGCCAAATTTCATGTCGATTTCAGTAGCCACAAAGTGCAAAGATCCCTAATTATCTCAAATCCGTCTTATCTACAGGTTTAGAGAGTGTTCGGGTGGTGTGCGGGCCTTGACAAGACAAAATCGATAACCGGGGTGTGCATCAATGCTCATTTTGGGTCGGGACCAATCAGATCGCACCAAAGTCCAGCATAGAACGGTGGAAAAATCAACAACTTCCAAACTTACCGAATCTGTTGAACTGGAAGACCCGCTTCCTAAAGGCAAAAAAATATTTTGTGTAAATAACACCTTAATGAGTTTTCCACTTGCTTTAAACAAACTTACATCCCTGTGAACTCCTACGTGGTAAGGACCGTTCGGCAAAAAATTGGTTTAAACGGACATAAAATGTGAGCACATCTTTCTAATATCCACTACCATCTAAAAATGGGTGGCCTTGTCATGATGAGCACCAAGCAGCCAATCACAGTAGCCAACCAATCAGGGATCGAATTTGTCGACCAATGATAACCCAGAGTAAATTACACTTTATAACTAACCATGATGACCGTGTTTACGTCCACCAGCACCACGTCCACCAGCTAATGCACCACTGGATGTCCCATCGTCTAAAAGACGAAGACAAGTTCAGAGTTACAGAACCAAGTTTATGACCTGTGATTGTTAATTTCAGGGTTTAGAACGCACCTTCTAAACATGTTGAAGATCCTTCGCTTGAATCCTCGAGTGAACTATCGCTGCTGCCAAATTTGCCACCTCGGCCACGGCCTCCTCCACCAGGTCCTCCAAATGAGAAGTCTAGACCGAGCGCGCTTCTACTGAAGTCTGCTGTACGCGCACCATCTGCCTGTTCAGTTTTGGCGGCATCTGTGGCCGTTACTAGAACCATTTTCATCGATTCTCGCTTCATTTCGTCAGCCAGCTAAATGATAGGTTCATATCAACAGCCTATTAGCTCATATCTCATTGGACGTTTCAAGGTCAATAAAGTCACACTTGATTGGGAAACCTACCATCGTCTTGGGGTCGTCGATTAGCCCATCTAATTTCAATATTTTCAGCTGCTGGGTCAGCGCCTCGAGGTCATTCGATCGCACAGCTTCCATGAGGGCCTCCGCAGTCGACCGATCGATTTCCATCCCCTCGCACACACGCTCAAGTGGCTTTGACTCACCCCTGAGACTTTGGGCCAGTAATGTTGTGGGACCTTCGAGGTTATAGTGGATAAGAACCCTCTTCATGATGAGGAAGCCAATGAGGAAGGCCCGAGCAAACTCTAGCGCCATGTCGGCGGGCAGGAACTGGAAGAACTCGCTCTGAATTTCCGACAACGGCGGACCGTCTTCCATGTCGGCTGCGGTCACGAGACGCACACAGATCATGTAAAGCTCCTCTACGCTCGGCAGTACCTTTAAACAAGGGCGGACAGCGTTAGTTTCAATTTTCGCGCTTGCTTACGTGATTCCTGATTGGTCAGTTTTGAAAGAGTAAGGTGGTGCTGTCGGCTAAAACCAATGGGATCTCATTGGACACGTGATAACGTCAATCTGGAGACCAGACACCGCCATAACTCACCCCTGTTAGATAGTAGAAAGCCCATCTGGGTGTCAGGAGGGTGTAGAGAAAGTTCTGGACAGTTTTCTCGTCTTTGCGAAAGATCTGCATCAGTCTGACTGTGGCAAAATTTTTACTTTGAAGTGCGTTGTGCGCGAGTTCCATGGCAGTGCTAAGACTCATCATAGCCTCCACCACGAGATCCAAGTAGTGCGACATTTTACCCGGGGAAAGAACTTTCTGAACGATGCGTGTGGAGAGGCGCTCGAAGAGCAAGTCGGGCCTGTGGTAGTCCAGTGAAAGATCCATGAGGCCGTATTGGCTCCTCGCATCCGTCTCGTCTAATAAAAGGCACACATGACATTACATTCACATTTTACTTGTTAGCAATATTCATTTAACAAGCGTGGCATTAATAAAATTTTTAAAAAATGGTAAACAACATGAGAGAATTTTGCTAAAATGCGCTGTGATACTTGACCACATTACCCAAACATCAACCTGCTCGTGGTTTTCTCAGTCTTGATTGGCTACTCAAACTCGCTCACCATTGGCTGTTTTGATGGCAACGAATCGGAACGCCGTGACCGACATTGCTGTGCCCCTCTCCAAGGCCTCCCGCTGTTGTTTTCGACTGTCGGAGACCGCGAGGTGGTCGGCTAATTCAGAGTCTTGAAGCTCCTCGATCGACCCCATCAACTCACTGGTGCCACTGGGTCTAGGCTTTTCCGCCAGCACAGGACGCCTTGTCTACAGCAACAATACCACTAAGCATCAAGTTAACTGGACGCGGTCGCTCAAACAACATGAAATGACCTTGGCTTGACCTATCACAGATGACTGCACTCTCATTGGTTCTGGCAGTGCGGATTATTTGAAATACAAATTAAGCAGGTGAATCTTTAGTTACACTACGCTGGTATTTCACCGGAGCCTCCAGATAAATAGGTGGGCGTAAAACGAATCCAATTTACCATGCATGGAGTCGATTCAGTAAAACAACTAAAAGAGCGCGTAACACAGTCAAGCTTGTGGTTATTAATACGAGTAAATGAGAGGCTATGAAACCAAGGCGTCAACAATTAATTTGACTCAGTCCATTCGGCTCAAATTCAAATCATTTGATAAAATTTTTCTTCACAATTGGGACCTTGTATTCTACAAAAGAATTTCATCTTATCATCTTGTATTTCAATAACCAATAGGCGTGCGTGCAAAGCAAGTAGGAATTCTATTGGCTTATTCAAACCCAACTTAAATGGTATGCTTCGAGGTGCCTCAAAAATTATTTAAAAAATTACCATTTTCGCCAAATGTAGGGGTTTTTCGAATGCGTTCATCCTCACCGCTGAATTTGGTAAAAATCCTTTTTAAAAATAAGAAAAAAATTATCGTATACCATCGCAGACGCACACTGAGAATGGCTCTTTGTTATTTACAGCAGGTTGCTGGTTGTGGTAGCAATCGCTGTATTGATCCATTCTACTTAAACAACCAGACGGATTCGGTTTGGTGTGCAAAATAAAACCCGTCTGACTACTCAAAGTGCGTGAATACGTTCTGTTTACAAAATGGCTTAATGAAAGTTAAACCAACCATGTAGCTATGTGGCGCAATCAGAAGGATTGACTGGGGAAATTGCATGTGGAAAGAGAACCAGTGACGTTATGAGCATGTGGGCCAATCGGGGTATGGATCGGATCTTATTGGTTGAATAACTGGGAAAAATATACCAGTTATCGCTGGCGTGTCAATCATTGGCAGCCTCAATGGCTCTCAAACATGGCTTGAATAATGTCGGTATGGGTTTCTACTGCTTGGAATCTAGCCACAAGCGTTTGGAAAAGTGGCGAATTAGCCAAACAAACGAAAACTATCCCATAGAGCTAGTCTTGAGGGGGATTCGTTCATTTCATCGACACAGAATTTATAGATCACAACAGGTGCTAGAAACAATTTCTTCTTCTGAATGATGGTCCCTGCACGGATTATTTAGGGAACTACGAACTCACTTTACCACCGCCAAATTTTAAAAATGACGAAGCTGGACAACGCACCATCAGGTCCGACAATGGGTCTAATAAAGCGCTTTATCTTGAACAACGGATTCGGCACCACGGCTCTGGCATTGGCTAGATCATCCGTAACAGGAAGAGGCAGTAGACGCGGTGCATCGGTCGGATCACTGGGTTTAACTGGAGACTTTTCGTGTTCCGCCATTTTGTGTGGTTTGGGTGTCGCTAAGGCTCATTCGACTGTAGCGCCTGACCGCCTGAAGTCCCTTGCGAAAAATCCACGGCAAGCACACGCCAACTGGGACATGCTGCGGCACCACGTGGTCGATCGATTTCACCGAAAACCCTCCGACAGTCTGATTGGTCAGCTGTTGATCATCGCAAGTGCGGCGCAAGCCCGAGTAGTTGAGTTGGCCGAAAAGCGTGGCCCTTTTTACGGGGGCTTCAGACGACAACAATAACAACAACAGATCCGGGTGTCGTGTGTACTTTTAGGTGGTAAGCGCGCACGGGGGTGACACAGAAGTTGGCTGAACTAGCTAGTGTACAAACAGGGTGCGTGGTCAGCGTGGCGGGGAGGGGGATGCCTTGGGACGCGGCGACAGCGTAGGTGAGAACGTGAATCAACACGTCTCACGACAATTCCATCAACCACGAGACTTCCCTAAGCTCACAACCGCTAAATCCACACACTCCAGGGCACTGACCCCTTTAACCAATCAACAGTTAGCCTCTCAATCAACGATCTGGTCGACAGTCACCCGATGGCGATAACTTCGAGTCCTAGGGAAGACGCACGTGATTGGTCGAATTACCTCGTACTATCTTGATATTTGAGGCAATCGACGCGCTATAAATATGGGGTAAATAGGTAAGTGAACATCAGCGATCCTGAGACCAAAACGGGCGTGGAATGGGGAGTAACAAAGGTATTATCGATGTCCAATAATCACATATCGGGAACACCCCCGACCAACCACAAGTCGAAGAAAATGAACCACTAAGAATAGGGAGATGGTTTTTACTTATAAAAATCCGAATAATAAACTGTGCCTCAAATGCATAGCGAAAAATCTTGGTTATCTATATAAAAATCAGTCACGCCTGTTTAAAATGTCTCAAAATAATCTATTTCTTGGCTGCACTGCGCCTCGCCACCTTCCTGGGACCACTCTCAACTGAGTCCGCATCGGGAGCCTGCGGTGATTTGCGCGCGGACGGACAAATTGGCGAGTTGATGCAGGCGAAGCATCTCGGATTTACCGGAAGGCAGATCTGTTGGCCAAATCCAACCAGCAGGTGATTCACGTCCCCCCAGAGATCCCTAGAAGGAGGAGGAGGAGGAGAAAACAACGTCGGCGAGCCGAAATTGGGAATTGGACGTCAGGGGGGGGGTCAGTTCAACACTCACCGAGGGAGCCAACTCTCGAGGGCTATGCGCGTCTCCTCAGGTGTCTTCGTGGGCTTCTGGACCCAACGAATGCGATTGGCTATTCGGTGGACGTGGGTGTCTACGCCGATTCCGGTAACCTCGTGCCAGGCGCACTGCATAGCTAGGTGAGCCATCTTAGGTCCAACGCCTAAAAAACACATGGAACAAGAAAACGGAGCGCGGATGGAACGACTAGAGCTACCCATGATAATTCAAGACCACAAAAGTCTAACAACTAGTAGATTTAGTTACCCTGTAGGGTTTGCGACCATGATTCAAAAATGAGGCGGAAGGGTGCTTTGGTTCCAAGACTAGAACCCACAAAATGACGCATTCATTCTGCCTAGAACTCGTTCAAATCAGGAATGAGGAGGCGCCAGGGCTATCCACGTCCAACGACCCCACCGGACAATCCATGTCGACGTATTTGAGGCAAATCGGAACTTCGATCTTGAGTCTACGTGACTGGTCTGGGTTAGTCACCTAGGGGGATGTCTGTTCCAACCGATGCACATATTGGTGTTTGGCAAACTCACTCACCCGGTAGAGAGAGCAGGTCTTTGAGGTTGTGTGGAATATCGCCGTCGAAGTCACTTGCCAGAATTTCACAAACCTTTTTAATGTTTTTCGCCTTTGTCTAAAACGACAACACGGGGAACGCATGTACGCCGTTATGAGCACACTTGGCAAGAAAAGAATCTAGCTATCATTACAACCACAGTATATTAGGACTGTTTCAGAGGAAGTGTAGAAACGAAAAAACGTGTAAATTTGTCGGCTGATGATAGTTCTGGATCGGCTGTACGAGAGGGCAAAAATCCACATTTTTTGGCATTTTTGCTGAGGAGTTTCGTGGAACTGATTGTGAGGGAGAGAGCGCTTAATCACGACCACCTTTGGTCTGAATTGATGCACACGTCCACGCGCAATTAACCACGCGACGCAAGTGAAACGATTGTGACATTATAAACGCTAGGTACCTGAGTCTCAGCTTAGGTCCTGTTTTAGCGAAGTTTATAAAACGACAGTTAATTAATCCAATTAAGAGGTAATCGCTAGACAGGGTTGGATTAGAGTTAGTCTTGGTCGCATACTGGCACAGAACCTGGTTCTGGGGCACAAGCACATGGCCGCATTTGATGCCTGAGCCACCAAAGTATCGACGATCAACAGACAAATTGGCATGAGGGCTGAACGAGTGGCCACGTGTGAATTTGTGATGCCCCCAAACCATCGAAAAACAGGACAATCGAATCAGTAAAGTGCACCTTGTAGAACGAGACAGGGTAGAGGAGTTGGGCGAGTTTCTGTTCGGGAAGTTTGCGCAGAGCAGCCAGGTGGGCCACATTGTGCTCCTTGAGACGCTCTATGGCGCCCGCAGTCGCTCCGTCCTTGGTTTGCGAGGATATCATTAACGACAAAAGCGTCTGCAGTCGAAACGTCTGCGTGGATTAACGAAAGGGGAATAAGGCAGATTAGGGGGAGGGGAACACTGTTTTAGGATAAAACGTCGCTTGAAGGATTGTGGAGTAGGATACAACTGGCACATTTGTCAAGAAAGCACTTTGAATGGATTGCAAATAGAGCACCATGGATGTACAAGTCAATTAAGGATGGCTGTGACGCAGATGTACCTTGAAGTTGATTCTGTGACACGTGTGGTCATCCCACATTGGCCGGGTTAAGCACAGCTAAGCAAAATTAATTTTGTCAGTAAAGTAAGAAAGGTGCACGACCAGACAAACCTTTGGATCTGCCCTTTCATCAGCAAGCTGGTCACAGCCCATAGTGTCCACGGGAGCGTTGCGACGAACTCGCATCCGCTGAATGTTCTCTAGTGTGGCGTACCACTTGGGAGGCTGCCAGCTGGGGAGTTTCGCGAGGTCTTCAATATCACCGCATGATTTCGTTCCAGTCCGTTTGCTAGCGCGCTTCATGCTAAAAAGCCCAATATTTGGAAGGAGGCGGGTAGCTCGCTCAAAATGCTGGAATTTGTATTTGGGTGTGTGAAAGCACGCTTATTTGGCATTCTAAAATTAGCAGCAGAGCCGGAGAGTTCGCCAATGGTTTGCGCTTCAAGCAACGGTTATTCGAACCGCGACGTGTGCAATGGAACGGATAGGAAGCATATAGGGAACAAAACTAGTGATTTACTCCAGAGCTTTAAAAAAGGTGGTGAAGGCGACCAACATTGGTGAACCTGGTACATCAAAATTTTTACGCATATAACAGTACTAAAATTACACTAAAATAATTGTCTAAGGAGAAAACTACATGGACATTCGGTAGATACCTAAGGACAAGTTTTAGATGCACGAATATCAACACATTTAAAAAACAGAAAAGAGGGTGGCCATCAAGTCGTTTTTATCTTAAGGTACCTCTCAAGTAGTGAGATTAATAACTACACTACCAAGCATGGAATCTGCCAAAATAACCAACCAATTCCGTGTAATGGCAACCAAATATACATTTTGCGAAAGCTTTTCGTATTTACTCAATTCAATTCTACTAGCCACAGTCTTATAATGTTTTTTTCTAAAAAGGAAATTTAATAAATCACGAGGACTACAACGTGACAGTTAACAACGACGTATTTAGTAAAAAGAATGTCAAAGACGATAGGCGAATGCCGTATTTGATGAGAATTACAGATGCTGCGACAGAAGGCGATTGTTAAATCCCCAAACGTATGCCATGACACTTTCCACAAAATCATAACAACGGTCTTTAGTGATTTAACCTTAAAGCTAGCAAAAATACAGCTAAAAAGCATCAATTCATGGATGAGCAGGACAATAAACATAAATACGGGGTAAAACGAGAAAGACTCACAATGAACAAAGAACCGCGAGATTCTTCACCGACATAAACACAAAATGCTACAATTTGCTATTCATATGTGGTTTTTTAAAAAAGAACACAGTCCTTGGTTTTACATTATCGAAAAACCGCAGATCTTTTGTAATAAGTTGTTGGCATATTTGACTGCCATTAATCCAATGCATTTAATGTGTAGAGAAAAATTTGGCATTTGTGCGTTACGTGAACTGTTATCACACAGATGAGTCCATTTAATTTATTTTGACACTGGTCTTGATAGCTGAAAAATGAATATGAAAAATCAACGACTGATATTACTTGTTTTTTTGGTATTAGCAAAAGCAGCGATAATCGGTTTTTTTTTAGCTAGAACTAAAGCTTCTGTCAAATAAATTGTTGTACTTTGTGTATTTATAGCAAGTAAAATTAATTCCTTTGATTCATTTAACCATAAGGATGTCAAACACCCAACATTATACTTTCACATCACTCATCAAACCATCATTCTCTTTTATCTGAAAGAATTAACTCGCCCTTTATATAAAAACACGAAGGAAAAAATACCTTCTTTTTTGTCATATAAATTGCTGACTATTCCAAAAATTAACCTTCCCTAAATGCAAATAAGTAAAAAATCAGTTGAATTTTTTAAAACTTAAAACAGATCCGCAGTGTCGTAATTTGACAGAAATAAACGTAAGTCACAATGAGGCATACATTATTTTATGAATATTTATATTTAGTGATCACCCCTTTTTCTCACCCCTAAGTAGAATACTTCGTCACTCAGCTCATGTCCTGCATGCAAATTTAATTAAACTCCACGTTTTATGAAGACTATTTTCCCATTTGTTTGTAAAACGGAGATACTAATAATTCACTTTATTAACAAGGTTGACACAGGAAATGCATTTTACGCTCACGAAATTTTAGCATTCTAAAACAAAGGCAATGCATGATTAAGGGTTTTGAACACCAAGTTTAGTATTTCAAATGTGCTACTGTCATTTTATTAGATTATGTTTGTCCATCGAGCGTATGCTTTTGGATAGAGATAATCGTTAAAATATGAAAGATGATAGCCAATTAGTCAGACAATTTTTAGCTGGACCAGAAGTAGCTGGATTGCATTAAATTTACGACTCCACAGATTTATTGCCATTAATAACCCACGAAGAAAGCTGAAAGATCCGGCACCAAATACTGTCCCCTATTAGAATTTCTTCAGCCAGGTAACTGTACATAACATGTAATTAAAAGCATCAAATAAGTGGAAGTCAGTCACTAACATTGCTCTTTCTAAATTTAGCCCTAATCAAGCGCGTCCCTATGCCCATGCTGACAGTTATAGGAACAAGGCGCATACACTAGCTTCGCAAATTAACATTGTTTTATTTTTCCTAGTTCGAGATTAACTAACTTAGCTTCTAATAATTTTTAACCTACTAGAGTGTCTCTGTGGCAAAATTACATCCGTTATTCATAGATTCCGATTGTGGGTTTTCTAAAGTTCATTTGAATGAATACCGGAAATTACGAGAAAATTTCATTTAACATATGAATACTTACATGTTGAATTAAGACACAATAATACTTTTTTCTAAAAGTGACAATCCATGAAAGGACTGAGACACGTTTGACGACAAAAGCAATCACAAATGCTTTTGCAAGGACACTGTCGGTTATTTGAGGCTTCGCTGACTTAGTCTATGCTTAAATAGGTTAACTTAAAGTCAGAAAAGCAGACCTGCAGCCTAACTGCTGTCTTTTAAATTATACTCCTGTAAATGGAGTGCTTCAAGACCGATTGGTTTGGTTTTTGATTTTTAAGTTTATTATTGGATAGTATCTACATACACAAATAGACCTTTAAATTTATGGGGTGGTCGCAATATTTATATCAGTATGTGTATCTCCTAAAATCCTAAAAAAATTTGATGTATATTAATTCACCAACTTTGATCTTAAGCTTGCAACTTTGTAAATAATTTATTAAAACCTCTTAAGTGTCATTAAATACATTTGTTGAGAGTTGCACATATCAAATATCTCCCTAATTGTTTGAATTTTATAAAGGCATAGAATTCTACAATCCCGACGTTTGTCGAATATTAGATCCATTAAAGAATATTTATTACGTAAATTTCATGGCAACTGGATTATCTTACCAGTATTTCCTATATCAGCCTTATTTGTTATATCAACTAAATAATCAGAAAACACAGCAGATCACTCTAGCTTTCTCACACTCTTAAAGATCAAGGTCAAGTTTGCGCTTGAAGCCGCAGGTGTCTCGGTTTCGTTCAATTAACTGAGTTGTGTTTCACGGAAAGGTAGCTTAATTTCTTTTGTAAGGGATCGTCACATTTGGCGCCTGGCCGAAATATGACGGTTAGTATGTAATGGTGTATCGAAGAGATCGTGAAAAAGCTCCTGACGGAAATTCCACTTCAGAAATATCGTCAGATTCCACAGAAGAGGACCTAGACAATTTAATTGACGATCTTCTTGAAAAACTTGCAGTTTGCCCATCTAGGCCCCAAAGAATGACAATCAAAAACAGGAAAGAGCGATCTAAACATGAGCGCTCTGATCGGTCTTCGGCCGTTGATGTCGCCGGAACTTCCAAAGATGATTCCCGTTCTTTTGGGTTTCAGCGGTACCAGTATTCGCCTGAAGAACGAGGACAAGGTATAGTACGTGGTCGTGGCCGGCAGCTGCGCTCTCACATCCCGTCTACCGGTGTTCGACCGAGCCAGTTTCCTTACCCAACATATGTGCCGACAGAAAACTTGCATACTCAGCCGCTAAAACGACGTTGGCCGCGTTCCCTTGAGACTTCGAAAAAACCATGCGATCAATTAAGTGACTGCTTAGATGACGTCACAGAAGCAGGTGCAGGAAATAATAGTGAAGACGAATATTACAATATAACAGACACTGCAACACAGAATACGTCTAAAGTAAGATTATTTTAAATCGTTACAGTCTGTAGGCTGAGGACAATAGTTTGGAGCAACTATTAAAGGAAAAGAAAGGTCTTAAAGTCGTGCGCGTTCATGGAGACGGGGCTTGTCTATTTCGTAGCGTCTGTATGTTTATGTATAATATTTTGATCGCAACATTTAGCCCACCAAGTTTATGGTGATGAAGAAAAGCATGAAATTGTTCGAAAGCAGGTCGTGGATTACATGGTAAACCACGAAGTCAACTTCATATACTTTGCAATTTAGTACAAGAACCGTGAACACTTCTCGCAGTACGTGACTGAAGATTTCGACCACTATCTACACAGAAAACGTCAACCTACTTGCTACGGGAATCACCTTGAAATTCAGGCGATTTCTGAGCTTTACAATCGACCTGTTGAAATTTATTACAACAATGTTGTCCCCATCAACGTTTTTCACGCCGAATACTCCCATGATGTTCCCATAAGACTAAGATATTGCGGTAGGACGCACTATAACTCCATCATTGACCCGTGCAAGCCATCTTTTGGACATGGCTTGGGCATGCCTAATTACCAGCCAGGGGTGAGTTCTTGTGTACTTCGTGACACCTTCATTTAGCTTCCAGAAAAAGACCTCGTGAAGCAAGCCATTCTCGAATCGGAAGCCAGCGAATTAGAGGAGGCTATGCTGAGAGACAAGCTGGCTGAATCGGAAACCAAGCAATTGGAAGACTGTATTGCCGAACATGTTTTGCGCGAATCTCTTTTTGAGCATGTTAAAGCCCATCTAGACAGCCCGGTAGGTCCTCATCGCACTTAAATTGAATCTTTGGTAAATTTTATGCTTTTTTTCTGTGATGGCGCCAGAAAGTGACATCATTTTCTTCCGTCATCACAATTTTCGCATTTCATGTGTTGTGCTGAATGTTATCCTCCTTTTAACTGTCGCGGTATCTAACTACGCCCTTGATAACTACGATTGTCTTGCCTCTTGACTCTTACGCTATCCACGTGACTACTGCTTCTCTCTCACATTTCGATAGACAATAGACCGACAACGCAGTACACCGCCACCAGCCGCCTCCTCCCCTTCGGCTTCCGATCCATCGACGACGACGACGACAAATTCCCGTGCGTATCAGCCGAGTTTGTCCGTGGCTGCCTCAGGCTCCCTCCAACAGGCTGCTTGCTCTTCCTCCGCTCTCTCCAAACCGTCTTCGTCCGCCTCTGCCGCGGCCGCTGATCCCGGATTGGGCGATTTTGCTGTCCTTCAACACATCCCACCTAGTATGCTTGGTGAGTTGCTTGAAATTTCCGAACGTTGTTGAGTTAGGGTGTGTGGCCACGTTAGAATGACCCCCGTTCCATTCTGCACCCGATCACTGAACAGGTATCCAATGAGCTGTTCACGCTTGCAGTTCTACAAGTTGACAATGTTTCCTTCGTCTAACTATGAAAAATTAGCTCTGTTAGTTATTAGTCTAGCTGATTGAGGCTTCTTCCCCTACAAATGCACACAGTTTTGCGGATGGAGTTAAACACCTTTCCCTCGTAAATCGTTGTGGTTTATCGTCAACTGGTACTCATTTCTTCAACGCGCCCAGGTTTCCTAACACCTTGCTTGTGACCGCGACTGTCTCACCTCACGAAACCCTGATGTATTAATTAATTAAGATTGATTATTACTAGGTGTCATTCGCCTACCTGACTGGCGTGTGCGCACGCCACAGAAACCACGGCGTCACGTGTGACTTCCGTGTTGTGTGCGTGGCCTCCTCTCAAACTCAACCGCTTCTCTGGAGTGGCTGGTTGCCTGAACCATCTGTCAACTGATTTCCACACACGTGCTAAATTACTACTTGTAATCGCTTGGCATTTCGTTCATGTCTGGCTTTTTATTAAGGCTCGTCTGATTTTGGCTTTTATCGGAAACTAGTACTTAACCCTATTCATTAAATGCCTAGTTTTCGCTCACCCTTCCAACGCACGAGTTCAAGGATAACGTGACGGTCATAAAATTCCACCCCACGACTACCCCCACACACAATAAAACGTGCCTTTAACTGGTAAGTCACGTGAATTTCGCCATGTCCATCTGCCACGTGATTTGAGCCAAGTTACACCAAGTCGAGCAACGTTGTGTTGAGACCTATTTGCACTAAAATGGCAATTTTCCCTTTTTTTTTCACGATGAACTAAACGTTTCTGCGCCAACAGCTGGTGCTTGTTCTACTGCAGCCCTCACTCTATCCGCCAATGTTGCTATCTTTAATCGACTTTCATGCCAAGAAATGCGGAAATAACTTCCTGCTAGTGCGCAGTCAATTCGGGGCGCGGTGTGTGTGTGTGTGTGTGTGTGTGTGTGTGTGTGTGTGTGTGTGTGTGTGTGTGTGTGTGTGTGTG